CATGTGAGATGATACCTGTTTTGTAGGGAAAGTGAGATGATATGCTCTGTGATGTGAGGTCCCTGGGAACCCTCACCAACCCGCGACTCCTGTGAGGCCCCTCAGATCAACAAATGATACGTAATATGTGGGGTTTCTGAAAACCCTCTCCAACCTGCAACTCCTTGCGGTCCCCAGGGACCGTGCGAGATGATTTTCACACCACTGCCACTTGAGATGGATAAGTCTGTAAGAAGTTGAGAAGAATGGGTTGATTAAATTAAGGGCAGTCTCCTATTGGATCAGCTGAAACCAATGTGTAAGTGTGGACGAAATCAGTCTCCTAGAGGTGTACGAGCGCAAAAGATGAGGTGGACGTTCACCTGTAGCAAGCTGAATGTGAGGGCGTTGAGAGATGATATGTGAATTTTCAATTACCAACTAGCTTCTGTGAAGGCCTTGAAATGATATGCTACTGTGAGACCCTTGTGGGACACATGGTACGCCCTTGTGGGACACAGGATACGCCCTTGTGGGACACATGATACGCCCTTGTGGGACAAATGATATGCCCTTGTGTGACACATGAAACGCCCTTGTGGGACACATGATACGCCCTTGTGGGACACATGAAACGCCCTTGTGGGACACATGATGCGCCCTTGTGGGACACATGATACGCCCTTGTGGGGCACATGATGAAACGCCCTGTGGAGCACATGAAACGTCCTGTGGGACACATCATATGCCCTGTGATATGCTCACAAGCAGTTTTTGAGTGGACTGGATAATTTCCTTTCTTCCTGTCCTGCCCCTCCTGTGTGTGTGTGCAGCAACGTGGGTGGCAACCAGCTAGAAGGCAGCTTCTTACTCAGCTTCATTCACATACTCAAAATCCCCTTTCCTCCTGTCCTGCCCCTCCTGTGTGTGTGCGTCTGCAGCAACGTGGGTGGCAACCAGCTAGAAGGCATGATCCCTGGGTCAATCACGAACCTCAAGCACCTCCACACGCTGTGCGTGCATTTCTAAGAAGCGGGATGTAAGGAAGGGAGGAATGTGCGTACCTGGGAAGAGAGAGGGAGGATGGGGTAGGGAAGGGATGAGTTTTTTACGAACCTTACTCATCTTTACATGCTGTGCGTGCATTTCTGGATGAAGGGAGAAATCTTAGGCAGCAGCCTAATCGGCATGATGGCATGATGGTGTGAGAGGCGAATGTGCGTACCCATGAGAGGAGAATGTGCGTACCCATGAGAGGAGAATGTGCGTACCCATGAGAGGAGAATGTGCGTACCCATGAGAGGAGAATGTGCGTACCCATGAGAGGAGAATGTGCGTACCCATGAGAGGAGAATGTGCGTACCCATGAGAGGAGAATGTGCGTACCCATGAGAGGAGAATGTGCGTACCCATGAGAGGAGAATGTGCGTACCCATGAGAGGATAATGTGCGTACCCATGAGAGGAGAATGTGCGTACCCATGAGAGGAGAATGTGCGTACCCATGAGAGGAGAATGTGCGTACCCATGAGAGGAGAATGTGCGTACCCATGAGAGGAGAATGTGCGTACCCATGAGAGGAGAATGTGCGTACCCATGAGAGGAGAATGTGCGTACCCATGAGAGGAGAATGTGCGTACCCATGAGAGGAGAATGTGCGTACCCATGAGAGGAGAATGTGCGTACCCATGAGAGGATAATGTGCGTACCCATGAGAGGATAAATTTTTTTGACAGGGGAGGAGCGAGGGGACGAAGAGGGAAGGGAGATGGAGGTAAGGAAGCGAACAATCACAAAATTCACACCCTTCTCACAAACCCACGAACAATCACAAACCTCGAGCACCTTCTCACACCCTGTGTGTACGTGGGAGGGAGGGAGGGAGGGAGGGAGGGAGGGAGGGAGGGAGGGAGGGAGGGAGGGAGGGAGGGAGGGTGAGGATAGGGAAGGGAGGAACAGTGAATTGTGTACTCATTTTGTGTCATCAAAACTTTTCTCGTCCATGTTTGTTCATGTGCATCAGGGTTTGTGCGCTCACAGCTGTGTGTTTGTTTATTAGTATGTGCGTGTGGGTTTGTGCGCTCATGGTTGTGTGTTTGTTCATTACCATGTGCATGTGGGCTTTTGTGTGGGATTGGGATTTTGCATCTCTGTGTGTGTGTCCGTGCGTGTGTGAGGTGACTTATGAGTCGACTCAAAATTCACCTTTGTGTGTGTGGGCTTTTGTGTGGCTCTGGGGTTCTGCATCCCTGTGTGTGTACCCGTGCGTGTGTGGCGTGGGGTATGGTTGAGAGGGGGGGAGAAGGGCGCATGTGTGTGTGTGTGCATGTGTGCGTGCGTGTGCGTGTGTGTGTGACCGCGTGTGTGCGCATTTGCGTGTGTGTGTGTGTGTATGTGTGTGTGTGTGTGTGTGTGCGTGTGCGTGTGCGTGTGTGTGTGTGTGTGTGCGTGCGTGCGTGCGTGTGTGCGTGTGTGTGTGTGTGTGTGTGTGTGAGTGCGTGCATACATGTGTGTGCGTGCGTGTGTGTGTGTGTGTGTGCGTGTGTGTGTGTGCGTGTGTGTGTGTGTGTGTGTGCGTGTGTGTGTGCGTGTGTGTGTGTGTGCGTGTGTGTGCGTGTGTGTGTGTGTGTGTGTGTGTGTGTGCGTGTGTGTGTGTGCGTGTGTGTGTGTGTGTGTGTGTGTGTGTGTGTGTGTGCATGTGAACACCTGCTGCTGCTAACACCAGTCGAATCGAGCGCAACAAGTTTGACAACGCCCTGCCTGCCAACTTCTCAGCGCTCACCAAACTCAGCTTCTTGTCAGTTCTCCCTCTCTTCCCCCACCTCCTGTCAGTTCCCCTCCCTTTCCATGCCTCTTGTCTCTCATTCTTTAGTCCACACGAAAACATGCCTGCCTGCCAACTTATCAGTGTTCACCAAACTCAGCCTCTTGTCAGTTCCCCCTTCCTTCCTACCAGTGCCTTTTCTCACTCATCCATTTCCACTCTCTCTTGCCAGTCATCTCGTCCTTCCTTCCACTGCCTCTTTGCACTGCCCTTCTGCCGTCTACTCTTGTCTCTCACCAATGCTCTTAACTCTGCTCCATGCCATTTCTGTGCCTACGGATTTCTGCTACTGTTTTAGGTGCATTGAAGGAAGCATCTGTGGATGTCAGTGTTAATTTGCTCTTTACTTTCTCTGGAGCTGAGTCGTATCTAGAAGTCTGTTTCAACAGTGCCTCAGAAGACATTTTAAAAGGAGCTTTCAGAAAGCTTCCAAGTCTCTGTTCCCGCTTTTTCCCATGCCCTGGTTCTTCTTTTTCCTTTACCCATCCCCGTTCACCTCCCCCCCACACCGCTCTCCACCGCATGGATGGCAGATTCGCCAACAACAACTCCTTCACGGGCCCTCTGCCGTCCTTCTTTGGCAGCATGACCAGGCTGCAGCAGCTGTGAGTGCAGCAGCTGTGAGTGCAGCAGCTGTGAGTGCAGCAGCTGTGAGTGCAGCAGCTGTGAGTGCAGCAGCTGTGAGTGCAGCAGCTGTGAGGGCAGCAGCTGTGAGTGCAGCAGCTGTGAGTGCAGCAGCTGTGAGTGCAGCAGCTGTGAGTGCAGCAGCTGTGAGTGCAGCAGCTGTAAGAGCAGCAGCTGTAAGTGCAGCAGTTGTTGTGGTGCCACTGTGTGTGAGCGTGGGTGCCTAGTGCTGTAGAAAGTACGAGCACCAATGCCGTCTCCAGCTTCTAGCAAGTGACCTTTTTCACTAATGCCTCCCACTATCAGCTGCCTATCTTACGCCATTGTCTCACTATAGGCAGTTTCATTCATCGTCAAACGGCAGCTGTGAGTGCAGCATTGGCCCATTTCATTACTAACCTGCTTATTTCACATGTTTGGCTCCACCCCATGCCCCTCCTACCCCATGCCCCTCCCACCCCATGCCCCTCCCACCCCATGCCCCTCCCACCCCATGCCCCTCCCACCCCATGCCCCTCCCACCCCATGCCCCTCCCACCCCATGCCCCTCCCACCCCATGCCCCTCCCACCCCATGCCCCTCACAGAAAGCTCTACTCCAACCCCATGGGAGGGTCGCTGCCGGAGTCCTACTCGCAACTCAAGAACCTCACCCACCTGTACGCCTCCTCACCAACCTGTACGCCTCCTCACCCACCTGTACGCCTCCTCACCCACCTCTACGTTTCGTCACCCACCTTTGGAACCGTTATGTTATACAGCCTCTTAAACCTCAGCGTACTAGTCAACCATCACCTCTTTCTCCTACCCCCGTTCCCCTTTCCCCATCCGCCCTTTCTCTCTGCCCCTCTCCTCTCCTCCTCCCCCTCACCCTCTCATGCTCGCCCCCCCTGCCAGCCATCTGACGGACATGGGTCTATCGGGCCCCATTCCCGACTCGTGGGGCCACATGAAGAGCCTTCAGTACTTGTGAGTGCGTGCAGCACTTCACAGTCCTCTGCAGTCCCAACAATCTCCCTTTTCCCTCCGTTCATACACAGTCTCTACAGTCTCTGCTCACACACACACCCTGTTCCTTCCCCCCCCTCGCCCCTCTCCGCCAGCCGTTTGAGTCGCAAAAATCTTTCTTCCCCCCCTGTTCATGCTCACACCCTGTTCATGCTCACACCCTGTTCATGCTCACACCCTGTTCCTCCCCCTTGTCCCCCATTCGCCAGCCATTTGAGTCGCAACAATCTCTCGGGCACGCTTCCCCTCTCGCTGGGTCAACTCACCAACCTTGTTGAATTGTAAACAACTCACCAAGCTTGTTGAATTGTAACCATCTCACCAACCTTGTTGAATTGTAACCATCTCACCAACCTTGTTGAATTGTAACCAACTCACCAACCCTGTTGAATTGTAACCAACTCACCAACCCTGTTGAATTGTAACCAGCATTAATTACTCGAATGGTCCTTCATTGGATGTAACATGCAATACAACATGTACATTAATAGCTTACTCTGAACCCTCTCTGAACCCTCACTTGAATTTCATGAACCCTTTCTGTGGCACCGACCACCACCACCATCTCACCAACTGTTTTTTCATTCAACCGTGACTGACTGCCGATCCAGCCCTCCTGTTGCATGCAATGCATCTCACTCCTCCAGCATTGCTGCTTTTTGAGTCGACTCAAAAATTGACTCATCACATCCAGCATTGCTGCTGATGATGCTCACAGGGAGGCACTGACCCCTCCGTCCCCTATTCGGTCTGTCTGTTAGTCCTTTGCTTCTCGGCTTCTCAAGGCTCCAACATCTCCCCTTATGTCTTTTCTCTCAAGGCCCCCTTAACAGGCGCTCCCCTTCTCTAGCCATTCTTCTTCCTTCCGTCTCGTTCTCATCTCTTCTCCAATTTTCCCCTTTCCTCTCCTCCTCTCATCTTATTTCCCCTCCTCTCACATCCTCTCCTCTCCTCTCCTCTCCACTCCTCTCCTATCTTCTCCTCTCCTTTCCCATCCTCTCCTCTCCTCTCCTCTCCTCTCCTCTCCTCTCCTCTCCTCTCCTCTCCTCTCCTCTCCTCTCCTCTTCTTCTCTGCCCACCCCACCAGGTCTCTCAACCAAAATCCGCTGCTGGAGGGAAAGCTGCCGCCCTGCTGGGCCACCATTCAGTCCCTCGGCACTCTGTACGCGCCCCAGCTCAGTTCCTCTTCCCCTCCTCCCCCCCCCCTTCCCCCCCATGCGCTCCCCCTCGCCCTTCTCCCTGCTCTCGCCGCCCTGCTGGACCGCCGTTCAGTCCCTCGGCACTCTGTCCGCGCCCCAGCTCCCCTCTGTCCGCGCCCCAGCTCCCCTCTGTCCGCGCCCCAGCTCCCCTCTGTCCGCGCCCCAGCTCCCCTCTGTCCGCGCCCCAGCTCCCCTCTGTCCGCGCCCCAGCTCCCCTCTGTCCGCGCCCCAGCTCCCCTCTGTCCGCGCCCCAGCTCCCCTCTGTCCGCGCCCCAGCTCCCCTCTGTCCGCGCCCCAGCTCCCCTCTGTCCGCGCCCCAGCTCCCCTCTGTCCGCGCCCCAGCTCCCCTCTGTCCGCGCCCCAGCTCCCCTCTGTCCGCGCCCCAGCTCCCCTCTGTCCGCGCCCCAGCTCCCCTCTGTCCGCGCCCCAGCTCCCCTCTGTCCGCGCCCCAGCTCCCCTCTGTCCGCGCCCCAGCTCCCCTCTGTCCGCGCCCCAGCTCCCCTCTGTCCGCGCCCCAGCTCCCCTCTGTCCGCGCCCCAGCTCCCCTCTGTCCGCGCCCCAGCTCCCCTCTGTCCGCGCCCCAGCTCCCCTCTGTCCGCGCCCCAGCTCCCCTCTGTCCGCGCCCCAGCTCCCCTCTGTCCGCGCCCCAGCTCCCCTCTGTCCGCGCCCCAGCTCCCCTCTGTCCGCGCCCCAGCTCCCCTCTGTCCGCGCCCCAGCTCCCCTCTGTCCGCGCCCCAGCTCCCCTCTGTCCGCGCCCCAGCTCCCCTCTGTCCGCGCCCCAGCTCCCCTCTGTCCGCGCCCCAGCTCCCCTCTGTCCGCGCCCCAGCTCCCCTCTGTCCGCGCCCCAGCTCCCCTCTGTCCGCGCCCCAGCTCCCCTCTGTCCGCGCCCCAGCTCCCCTCTGTCCGCGCCCCAGCTCCCCTCTGTCCGCGCCCCAGCTCCCCTCTGTCCGCGCCCCAGCTCCCCTCTGTCCGCGCCCCAGCTCCCCTCTGTCCGCGCCCCAGCTCCCCTCTGTCCGCGCCCCAGCTCCCCTCTGTCCGCGCCCCAGCTCCCCTCTGTCCGCGCCCCAGCTCCCCTCTGTCCGCGCCCCAGCTCCCCTCTGTCCGCGCCCCAGCTCCCCTCTGTCCGCGCCCCAGCTCCCCTCTGTCCGCGCCCCAGCTCCCCTCTGTCCGCGCCCCAGCTCCCCTCTGTCCGCGCCCCAGCTCCCCTCTGTCCGCGCCCCTGCTCCCCTCTGTCCGCGCCCCAGCTCCCCTCTGTCCGCGCCCCTGCTCCCCTCTCCTCCCTCCTTGGACCTCCCCGCCCCGCCTCGCCCCTCCCTACCCCTCTTTTCCACACCACTCTGCGCGACTCACTGCTCTGCTCGCTGCTCTCACCCTCACTCTCTTCCCTCCTTTCCTCCTGCAGTCCCCCCAGCCCCTCTCTCCCCCAACACTCTATACGCCCCCTGCTCTCCTTGCTGTTCTCTCCCCAGCTTTTACTTGCTCTTCCCCCTTCAGTCCACTCTCCTTTTCTCCTGCTTTTACCTCCTGCTCTCCTGTTCCCGTCCATCCATCAGCCCTCCCGGCTCCCATCTTTCTCCCTCCCGGCTCCCATCTTTCTCCCTCCCTTTCCCCCTGTCTTCCCCCATCCTCTCACATCAGCACACTCACTAGCACCAGTCTGCACTGCCCCACGCGCCCTCTCAACTCCTGCCGCCCCATTACCCAGCACCCATCCACCATTCTCCCCCTTTTTCCTGCCATCTCATTCCTATTTCTCCCCCGTCCCATCACACCAGCACACTAACAAGCACCAAGCTGCACTGCCCCACGCGCCCTGTGGATTCCTGCTGTCCCGGCACCCTGCAGAGCGACCTGCCCTACTGCTCCCTCATCTGCCACCACTTCTGCCACGACTGCCATCCACCACGTAACCCTCGCTCTCACTGTCCAACCAGCCCATGACCAACCCACCCCTCAAACATTTGGTCTCTCTCTGCAGCAACGGTTTGGTCAATATGTGTGGCTGGCATGCAGTAGATCTGGCTGATGTGGCTGGCATGCAGTAGATCTGGCTGATGTGGCTGGCATGCAGTAGATCTGGCTGATGTTGCTGGCATGTAGTAGATCTAGCCCATGTTGGCATACACGCGTATAGCGTATATACGCGTGTCGTATATACGCATGCATCTATACGCACGCTATACGCTAAGGGTCCCAAACCAGGGATACGCTTTTCTGGGCAGAATAAAAAAAGCCCGGGCAGGTCGAAAAAAAACACCCTAGGTATAGTTTAAAGGGGGATTCACGGGGCTTGTGTTTCAGGTTATTTTCCTACCCGAATAGGCTGAAATGCTTGTAGGCTTCCAAAAGGTACTTCCCAATCTTACGAAGAGGACGTTTCCTATTGTTATCGTGAGATCAGATGGCGGGATAGGAGCAGTAGAAATCGCGTAGGTTACTATGAGGAGCGTGTGACGACTAGGTGGGAATGGATGGATAGGGGAGAGAACGTGAAGTAGATCTTACGAGAAGCAATGTGTTGGAGGGGATATATTGGAAAGGTAGGAGTTCGTGGATTAGGGCGTGTAACCATTTTGCCTATTTTTGTTCCGGACGGTCCGAAATGTGGACCGTCCGGTTTGGCGAAAGGTTACCACAGTCGCAGCATTTCGTATCTAAGTTCGTGGAACTCCTTGCGATGTCGCCAACATTCCGAACCGTCATGAAACTTTTTCACGTTTCCAACGGTCCGAAATGTGCATTTCGGACAGTCCGAAACCCCAACGGACGGTCCGACAGTTCTGCGCAGGGATTGGCGTGCGAATTTCCCTCACCAAACCTGCGTAGGGATTGGCAAACGAATATTTATTGCGACAACTTGTGTATTTGGTTACGAGAGTCACGGGAACTGCGCGAGACTACAGTAATCGCGAAGTCGGAGTGCTAGCAAAAAGTGTCATGTTTCTCTGGACGGTGGCAAGGTTCTGAAACGTCACATCGGACGGTCCGGTTCTCGATATTAGGACCGTCCGTTTTAAAATATACAGACGGTCCGGAAAATCACATAAAATCAAAATGGTTACACGCCCTTAGGTTTGGTTCAAAGTGGTGGAACCCTGAAATTTGGAATTGCAACTTCAACGCGAATCCAAACATTGAAGTCACATTCCTGCTTCCATAGATCTCCGACGAGCATTTCGACCACGGCGAAATGATCGCCGTGAAAAACGGCACATTTTTTCATATTCCCGAAATTTTCATCCTGGGCTGCCCAAAAAAAACTCCCAAGCGTATAGCGTATTTGCTAGCGTATAGCATATAGCGTGTACACGCTAGCATATAAACGCTCTACGCTCAAGGCCCAAAGCGTACATGCCAACATAGGATCTGGCTGATGTGGCTGCCTGCTGCCTGCTGCCTGCTGCCTGCTGCCTGCTGCCTGCTGCCTGCTGCCTGCTGCCTGCTGCCTGCTGCCTGCTGCCTGCTGCCTGCTGCCTGCTGCCTGCTGCCTGCTGCCTGCTGCCTGCTGCCTGCTGCCTGCTGCCTGCTGCCTGCTGCCTGCTGCCTGCTGCCTGCTGCCTGCTGCCTGCTGCCTGCTGCCTGCTGCCTGCTGCCTGCTGCCTGCTGCCTGCTGCCTGCTGCCTGCTGCCTGCTGCCTGCTGCCTGCTGCCTGCTGCCTGCTGCCTGCTGCCTGCTGCCTGCTGCCTGCTGCCTGCTGCCTGCTGCCTGCTGCCTGCTGCCTGCTGCCTGCTGCCTGCTGCCTGCTGCCTGCTGCCTGCTGCCTGCTGCCTGCTGCCTGCTGCCTGCTGCCTGCTGCCTGCTGCCTGCTGCCTGCTGCCTGCTGCCTGCTGCCTGCTGCCTGCTGCCTGCTGCCTGCTGCCTGCTGCCTGCTGCCTGCTGCCTGCTGCCTGCTGCCTGCTGCCTGCTGCCTGCTGCCTGCTGCCTGCTGCCTGCTGCCTGCTGCCTGCTGCCTGCTGCCTGCTGCCTGCTGCCTGCTGCCTGCTGCCTGCTGCCTGCTGCCTGCTGCCTGCTGCCTGCTGCCTGCTGCCTGCTGCCTGCTGCCTGCTGCCTGCTGCCTGCTGCCTGCTGCCTGCTGCCTGCTGCCTGCTGCCTGCTGCCTGCTGCCTGCTGCCTGCTGCCTGCTGCCTGCTGCCTGCTGCCTGCTGCCTGCTGCCTGCTGCCTGCTGCCTGCTGCCTGCTGCCTGCTGCCTGCTGCCTGCTGCCTGCTGCCTGCTGCCTGCTGCCTGCTGCCTGCTGCCTGCTGCCTGCTGCCTGCTGCCTGCTGCCTGCTGCCTGCTGCCTGCTGCCTGCTGCCTGCTGCCTGCTGCCTGCTGCCTGCTGCCTGCTGCCTGCTGCCTGCTGCCTGCTGCCTGCTGCCTGCTGCCTGCTGCCTGCTGCCTGCTGCCTGCTGCCTGCTGCCTGCTGCCTGCTGCCTGCTGCCTGCTGCCTGCTGCCTGCTGCCTGCTGCCTGCTGCCTGCTGCCTGCTGCCTGCTGCCTGCTGCCTGCTGCCTGCTGCCTGCTGCCTGCTGCCTGCTGCCTGCTGCCTGCTGCCTGCTGCCTGCTGCCTGCTGCCTGCTGCCTGCTGCCTGCTGCCTGCTGCCTGCTGCCTGCTGCCTGCTGCCTGCTGCCTGCTGCATGCTGCATGCTGCATGCTGCCTGCTGCATGCTGCCTGCTGCATGCTGCCTGCTGCATGCTGCCTGCTGCATGCTGCCTGCTGCATGCTGCCTGCTGCATGCTGCCTGCTGCATGCTGCCTGCTGCATGCTGCCTGCTGCATGCTGCCTGCTGCATGCTGCCTGCTGCATGCTGCATGCTGCATGCTGCATGCTGCATGCTGCCTGCTGCATGCTGCCTGCTGCATGCTGCCTGCTGCATGCTGCATGCTGCATGCTGCCTGCTGCATGCTGCCTGCTGCATGCTGCATGCTGCATGCTGCCTGCTGCATGCTGCCTGCTGCATGCTGCATGCTGCATGCTGCCTGCTGCATGCTGCATGCTGCATGCTGCCTGCTGCCTGCTGCCTGCTGCCTGCTGCCTGCTGCCTGCTGCCTGCTGCCTGCTGCCTGCTGCCTGCTGCCTGCTGCCTGCTGCCTGCTGCCTGCTGCCTGCTGCCTGCTGCCTGCTGCCTGCTGCATGCTGCCTGCTGCATGCTGCCTGCTGCATGCTGTGTGCCCGCACCTCTTGCATCCAACTGCCCTTCTATTCTCTTTGTTCGGTCATCCATCTCCGAGTAAATCTTCTTCCGTGCCTTCGAGTGAATCTACTTTCGTGCCTCCTAGTTAATCTGCTTTCGTGCCTCCTAGTTAATCTACTTCCGTGCCTCCTAGTTAATCTACTTCCGTGCCTCCTAGTTAATCTACTTCCGTGCCTCCTAGTTAATCTACTTCCGTGCCTCCTAGTTAATCTACTTCCGTGCCTCCTAGTTAATCTACTTCCGTGCCTCCTAGTTAATCTACTTCCGTGCCTCCTAGTTAATCTACTTCCGTGCCTCCTAGTTAATCTACTTCCGTGCCTCCTAGTTAATCTACTTCCGTGCCTCCTAGTTAATCTACTTCCGTGCCTCCTAGTTAATCTACTTCCGTGCCTCCTAGTTAATCTACTTCCGTGCCTCCTAGTTAATCTACTTCCGTGCCTCCTAGTTAATCTACTTCCGTGCCTCCTAGTTAATCTACTTCCGTGCCTCCTAGTTAATCTACTTCCGTGCCTCCTAGTTAATCTACTTCCGTGCCTCCTATTTAATCAAATTCCGTGCCTCCTAGTTAATCTACTTCCGTGCCTCCTAGTTAATCTACTTCCGTGCCTCCTAGTTAATCTACTTCCGTGCCTCCTAGTTAATCTACTTCCGTGCCTCCTAGTTAATCTACTTCCGTGCCTCCTAGTTAATCTACTTCCGTGCCTCCTAGTTAATCTACTTCCGTGCCTCCTAGTTAATCTACTTCCGTGCCTCCTAGTTAATCTACTTCCGTGCCTCCTAGTTAATCTACTTCCGTGCCTCCTAGTTAATCTACTTCCGTGCCTCCTAGTTAATCTACTTCCGTGCCTCCTAGTTAATCTACTTCCGTGCCTCCTAGTTAATCTACTTCCGTGCCTCCTAGTTAATCTACTTCCGTGCCTCCTAGTTAATCTACTTCCGTGCCTCCTAGTTAATCTACTTCCGTGCCTCCTAGTTAATCTACTTCCGTGCCTCCTAGTTAATCTACTTCCGTGCCTCCTAGTTAATCTACTTCCGTGCCTCCTAGTTAATCTACTTCCGTGCCTCCTAGTTAATCTACTTCCGTGCCTCCTAGTTAATCTACTTCCGTGCCTCCTAGTTAATCTACTTCCGTGCCTCCTAGTTAATCTACTTCCGTGCCTCCTAGTTAATCTACTTCCGTGCCTCCTAGTTAATCTACTTCCGTGCCTCCTAGTTAATGTACTGGGATTCTGAGTCAACTCAAAAGTCTTTCGTGCCTCCTGCCATTAACTGGAATTCCAAAAAACTGCCGGCCACCATGTTTGCTATAAGCCCCTCACTCGATCATGGAAGGTTTGCTCTATGACCAACCCTTGGCTCCTCTCTTGCGCCCTTGGCTCCTCTCTTGCGCCCTTGGCTCCTCTCTTGCGCTCACTTTCGACATCTAGTGTGGCTCCTCGCCACTGTTGTCCCCACCACTGCTGTCCCCACCACGCATGGGGATCTCAGTTCAGCTTCTGCTATCCGCAGCTCTTATCCCCCCTCATCCAGCCCACCCATCCACTCTCTCCCCATCCCCCTGCACCGTCTGCCTATCAGCACTGTCGACAGCGTACATTGCTGGTATCGTGGTGGGCTGTGTGCTGCTGCTGGCGGTGCTGCTGCTCGTATCGCTCTATGTGTGGTACTACTACTGGGGACCCGGCAGCCGCAAAGGTGAGCACTAAGCATGTTTCTTCTCTGCGAGTCTGTTAGACAGGAGTACCGTCTATTTTGTGGCGATGTCAGCCAAAAAGCCAATTGCCTAGCAGGTAAATAACTTGCTGAAACATATATTTGACATTTGAATGTGTGAATAACAAGTGGGCTCAATAGTGTTTGCATGCATTCGGTCGAATTTTTTTTTAAAGGAGAAAAGTGTTACTTGCATATGAGAACAACACCCATTCTGGGACAAGGCAATGTTATAGTTTCAAGCTTTTTTTTACTTTTGAGGTGCCTTAGAATGAGCCAATGCAATAATTTCATGGGTTCTGAGCTCATGCCATTGTCGATTAACTCCTCACAATCATTACCACACACGTGGCTTTGAGGTCATGGTAAAAATTTTGCTGGATCTTTTGTGTGTCATTGCATCAGACTGTGGTGGGTGGGTGGACCTCTGTAGTCACCAGCAGCGGCACAGAGCTACAGCATGGGCAGGCAGCATGCCCCAAGCGGTCTGGCATGTGTGGGCATTAATGGCATGTGTGTGCATTAATGGCATGCGTGTGCATTAATGGCATGTGTGTGCATTAATGGCATGCGTGTGCATTCATGGCATGCGCGTGCATTAGTAGCATGCGTGAGCATTAATGGCATGTGTGTGCATTAATAGCATGCGTGTGCATTAATGGCATGTGTGTGCATTAATGGCATGCGTGTGCATTCATGGCATGCGCATGCATTAGTAGCATGCGTGAGCATTAATGGTATGTGTGTGCATTAATGGCATGCGTGTGCATTAATGGTATGCGTGTGCATTAATGTTATGCGTGAGCATTAATGGCATGCGTGTGCATTAATGTTATGCGTGAGCATTAATGGCGTGTGTGTGCATTAATGGCATGAGTGTGCATTAATGGCGTGCGTGTGCATAACGACATGTGTGTGCATTAATGGCATGCGTGTGCATCAATCGCATGCGTGTGCATTAATGGCATGCGTGTGCATGATGGCATGTGTGCCAATGGCATGCATGTGCATTAATAGCATTGTTGCTCAAGACCCGTCACTTTGAGAACTTATTACGAATTGAATTCTCAACTAAACGCAAATCCGCACGGTAGAATTATGTGTCAGAGCCTTAGCTACCGTCTCTAATATAAATCAGTCGTTAAGATGGTTTCTAGAGTGAGAACGAATTAAAACGTCCAACATTTGCATGACTTGAATGCTAGAGGGAGTACAAGCATTAAGACATAGGAAATTGGAGTTGGGGACTCAAAGTATCATTAAAGAGAATGGGTTTTTTGGGAAAGATGATAAAAACCTTCTTAGCAACAAGGATGCAACCCCCATCATGAGCTTCTTGAGGTGTCCCACGCAAAATCCAATCTAGTTGGATTTTGCCTAGGTGTTGCAACATTTGCAACCCATGTTAAAAACGTCTAACCACCCCAATCCTAAAGTCAAATTTGTGTTATTAAACACCCAACCAAAGATCTATTTAGAGTCATGTCCCATTAATCGTCCAATTTAAATAAAATTTCAAAATGAGATAGAATTTCCAAATCAGGGAGTCTTGTAACTTGGGCGATCTTGGTACTGTTGGAAAACTCTGCCTTTCTCCTGCATGATCAAGCATGTAGACTTGGAGAAAAACACAGAGATGGTAAAATTCAACATCCATGGCATATGCTCATGGAAATAGTGCAAGCATAAATGGCACGAGCACTCGGCATGACGTTAGGATGACATGCACGCAGACTGACGTGCATTCAACAGGCATGCGTGTGTATTAATGGCATGCATGTGCATTAATGTCTCGTGTGTGCATAATGGCATGCATGCGCATTAACGGAATGTATGTGCATTTTTAAGGTATGTGTGCATTCCCCCACTCCCCAAGCAGCGTGGTTGAGGGGTTGCAGCAGGGCTTCAGGAAGTACTGATGTTACCACTCTTCCATCCCGTCCTCTGTGCCTCCCCCCTCCCCCTCCCCTCCCTGTGTAGCATGGGAGAGGGAGCTGAAGCAGGGCTTCAGGAGGTACACGTGGAGGGAGGTGATGGAGGCGACCAACCAGCTGAGCCCCGACAACCTTCTCGGCAAGGGCGGCTTCGGCTCCGTCTACTGGGGCGTCGTCGGCGGGGAGCACCATAGCGGGTGGAGCTCGCGGGTGTGGAAGCGAGCCGAGGCCAGCAGCAGAAGAAAAAGCAGTTTCATGAGTGGGGGAAGTGGCGCGAGTGGGAGCACAACTTCTCTGGTTGAAGCTGCTGCTAGTGCGAAGGGTGCGGGGTCGGGTGGCAAGGTGGTCGGCAGCACTGATGGATCGGACGGCGGTGTGCGTGGTGCGGGCGGCGGTGTACATTTGGTGGGTGGCATGGAGGTGGCTATAAAGCGGGCGGCTGCTGTGGAGCGATCGACTAGTATCGCCACCATGTTTGAAGAGGAGGTGCGTGGTGTGATGCAGTGTGGTGTGATGCGGTGCGATGTTAAGTGGTGTGGTGCGGTGTGGTGGCAAGGAGGAGGTCAGTGGTGTGCCGAGGGGCTTGTATAGGGATAAGTTACATAAGGACTCTGAAAGGAATCCAAGGTGCACAGTGTTAGAATTAGGCTGTCAACACTTTGTGTACTATATTCTATACCTTGTAGGTTATTTGTAGGTTGGGTGTAGATTGTGATCCCAACCCTCTCTAGTTGGGATTCCCTCATAATTCAGCAAAGACAACTCACCAATTGGAGATTTGCTAGGATTCCCATCCCATCCTTTCCCTAGCTTTGCTCAACCCAACCTTACTTGTACTTAAGGCCTAATGCCTATTAATCAATCAGTTGAGCTCCATTTTTATCATGGTATCGAGCTAGTAAATTCCGCTCACGCGGAATCCGATCCTTGGCGTCGGGATGGCTCTCTCCCTTTCATCCAGAACTCTTTCGGCTTTTGGCTCCTACGCTTAGCGTTTTCAGACTTCACGTCTTCGCGCCGTTCAAGAGTGCATTCACATTCCGTTTTCGCGCACCTTCAATTTCCACGGCGATATATCCTCTTACACTTCATTGTAAGCTTCTGGAAAATCACATTTCCGTCGCGAATTTCTCGTGTTTCTTAATTTCTTAACTTCAGCGGCGCAGCAGAACAGGTCAGCGGCGCAGCAGAACAGGTCAGCGGCGCAGCAGAACAGGTCAACGACGCAGCAGAACAGGTTCAGCCGCGTAGCAGAACTGGTCGACGGCGCAGCGGAACAGGATTGAGCGACGCAGCAGAACAGGTCAACAGCGCAGCAGAACAGGTCAGCGGCGCAGCAGAACGGGTCGCCGGCGCATCGGAACAGGTTCAGTGGCGCAGCAGAGCAGGTCAGCAGCGCATCGGGACAGGTTCAGCGGCGCAGCAGAACAGGTCAGCGGCGTAGCGGAACAGGTCCAGCAGCGCAGCAGAATAGGTTCAGCGGCGCAACGGAACAGGTTCAACGGCGCAGCAGAGAAGCAGTTTAAGGGCATCGGCGAAGCAGAGCAGTAAACCAAAATCCAGGCTTTCTATTGCCAAAATCGCATTACGGACTTCCTTAATTTCAAAAATCGCCGCGCCGTGCTCCGCTACGTATCGGAGACTTTAGCGCTGCGCTCCGCGCAAAATGGCGACTTCCACTTCCACCCTCGTCGGAAACCTCATCGTTCTCGATCTCGCTCCCAACGGCACGAGCACCAACTTTGGGGAATGGTGCTATGGAGTGGAGAAGCACCTCCTTAGTACGGAGCTAAAGGGGATTTGCCTCAAGGACATCCTCCTCAACTGCGGCAAGGGGAAGATGCTTTTCCCTCCCAAACCTCTTGGTGAAGGAGCAACTGCCGCAGATAAGACCGCATTTGAATCTAACACTACCAAATATGAGACCGACTTCAGTGTGTGGGAGCAGGCGGATGCGGCAGTTATTAGGGTTTTCATCACCACCACTCCGGTTGAACTTGTCAAGTCTTACCGCACGTTCTGCTCCGCACATGACATTTGGAAGTACCTCTAGGAACGTTTCCATGACAAGACCGCAGTAGGTGTTGCCATCCTCATCCCCCGCATGTTCCAGGTCTGCCTCGAGGAATGCCCGGGCATGGCGGACTACATTTCTGAAATCCGCAACATCCATGAGGAACTCAAGGACATTGGGATCACCTTCCCCGAACAGGCACCTGCAGCTGGGCTACTTGTAGGACTCACCCCGGCCTACAATGTTACCAGTTTCATGCTCAAGCAGCTCCCTACCAAGGAGCTCACTTTCGAGAAAGTCGCATCGGCCCTTCTCTCTGCTGAAAAGGACCTTGCAGCACAAGCATCCGTCAATGTTGTGCGCTACAACCCTGGTATCCCATTCCGCTCCCAGCAGGGACCGAGGCGCAACTCATTTCCCCCATGCCCCTACATCATTAGGAAGGGTCCACGTGCAGGGCAAAAATGTGGAGGCACCAACCACCCTGAGGCAACTTGCTTCAAGAAGCGAAATGATGAGTGGTATGACATCCACGGCGTCTCCACCAACAAGTGTCCTCCCAACTGGGCCCCACCCCGTCGCGTGAACCAGGTCGAGGCAGTGGAGGAACCTGCTCACGCACTTGCTAGTGCCCCATCTGTTGTTCGCCTCAATCTGCTGTTCTCTGGTGCTGATATTATTAATGAGAAGGGGTTGCAGTATATTGGTGTCTCAAACACACAGGGGATCGAGTTCATACTAGACAGTGGTGCCACCCATACACTGGTTCATCGGTGTCTCAAAGACCAAACCGCATTCGTTCCCTATCAAACTCCCACCCCACTCCTTGGAGCCGATTCTAGCTTCTCCATCCAATGCCATGGGTCCTCCAGGAGTTCCTTGTCCAGCCTTTCCATCTGGCACAGTCACTGGCATTATGTGCCCCAACCTTCCGCTACAACCTCCTTGCACAGCGTGAAATCGAACATGCAGGAGTGATCACCATCTTTTCCAATGATGTCGACTGCTGTGACCCCATTGACGCTAAAACCGGC